CCTCCTCCTCAGCCCGCTTCGCGCCGTCGAGAAAACACGGCGGTAGGGTTATGATGTCCCAACCCGAATTGGTTTTGACTACCAGGAAAATTTCGAGTACCAAGAAAGCACCTAAGTTTGAGGGTGTTCACGAGTCGGGCTCTGGGAGGCGATACTCGTTCGACTTTGTTTCGATACTTTTCGGGTTGCTCGAAATTCGTTCTGGGATGCGTTCCTTAAATACGATGGGAGCCACATAACTCCTGGGTCCTAACCTGGCCCCAGGACCGTCAGGCAACGACTCAAGATGAAAAGCTGGTCCCCGAGAAGGGGTCCAGACCTCTTGGTTCCACGTCACGAAAGCACTACATCGGGGGTCTGGTTCCTCCTCCTCATCCTCCTCCTCTGCCTCCTCCTCCTCTGCCTCCTCCTCCTCCTCCTGCTCCTCCTCCTCCACCTCGTCCTCCTCCCCCTCCTAGTCCTGCTTGGGGAGCTTCTCGTAGCCACGGCTGGGCGGAGCTCGAGGTACGGATCGGGGGTTGCGTGTCGGCGAGGTTTGAGGACGTTTGGAGCTGACATCCTCTTATCATCCACATCCTCCCTCCTAACCTGCAGCAGCGCGAACGATTGAGAGGCCGGCCCTTTTCGCTCCGCCCCAGCGCTTTTTTCCGTCGGCAGTCCAGAAAAATTGGCCACGACTTCTGAATTGCAGTTGCGCGAGGTTGCACAAATGGTTTCTTGTCATTGAGGCTAGGCCGTGGCTTGACATGCTGCCAAAGTGTGAGCAGATGGCGAATATTGAGCTCGGACCGAGGCCCCTTTTCCTAAGAGTCAGACCGATGTTGTACTGGGGAAAGGGGGGCGTAGAACAGTAGCACCGAGAACACCGAGCACTTCACTTCCTAGTCAGAGGAGTGGTCCGTGCTGCAGTGCCCGAGCCGTAGCCTGACCAGGCCCAATTACCCTTTCACTTCTTGACGAGAGTCAGGGAGAGGGGGATAAGGGATCGGGAAGAAGCAGGAGGAGGACGACGACAACGACGAGGGTCGAGGATCACGGATCTTGAAGATTTGGGGGCATTTGGAGACCTCAAGAGGTCTTTTGGAGACGTCCAGAGACCTCTTGAGCCCTCCCAGGGTTCTTGGAGGATGGGGAGGAAGAAGGGACTTTGGCCGTTTTGGTTCAGGCGGCAACCTCTGAGCATTAGGATCGCTGGCACTTTTGCGAGCATCGGGATCGCTGGCGCCAATGCCGGTCCAGAACGAGACATCCTTTCTGGATGGGTATCAGGATATGGTAATCCAGATCGCAGGTGTAGAAGTGACACCGGCAGTGATGCTGGCCTGCATTGTTGCAGTGGTCTGTATATGTTCAGTCTTGTTGGTTGCGCACACTTCTGGTAGATCTGGCAAGACATGTTCGGCGCGCCATATACTCATGGCTAATGAGCAGGATTTGCTGAAGGCGAAGTCGCGGATTGATGGTGGGGAGGATTTTTGCAAAGTGGCGAAGGAATGCAGCACGTGTCCTTCTGGCCAGAGCGGTGGATCACTGGGCTGCTTTACTCCTGGCTCCATGGTGCCTGCCTTCGACAGGGTCTGCTTCGCTCCAGACACTGAAGTTGGCAAGCTCTATGGACCAATACAGACGCACTTCGGTTACCACCTGATCATAGTCGATGAGCGCTCGGGCTGCGAGATGGATGTGGGAGAGGGCGCCAAGAACTGCCTGAAGGAGGAATAAGGCAGGACATGTTCTGGCCATGTTGGTGCATTGTAGCTGTGAGCAGTCCTCAGCCGCGCCCTCGCCTCTCACCCACCCACCTACGCCAAACAAAACGTGGGGCAGGAGGAGGACATGAGCACGACGAGCGTGAACCATCGCGCCTGAGGCGAGCCTTTTGGGCCGCAGGCTGCCAGCCATATCTGCACTAGGCGCACCACATGACGAGCTGGCCTGCGGACGAGTGCCCCACGGGGATTCCTTACCTCCCGATGGGCCCACGGAGCCTTGGGCCTCCTTGCGAAGACAAGAGTCCACGAAGGAAGTGCCCCCCGTAGCCTAGCAGGTGCCCCTTTTTCGCATCGCCTGGTGGCCTTTGGCCCGTCCCGCCACCGTGCCCAGGCTGCGCGCACGAGGGCCAGCTGCAGTTAGGTCGGGAGCACCAGTCTCCGAGGGATGTGGGCATCCTGGGGCTCCCTTCAGGGCCCACCTGGGGGCCTCTCCCCCCTGGAACTTCGTGGGGGGCCGGCAGATGGCCTCGGGGGCGGTCTTCAGGGGCCACCCTGGAGGGGAGGCCTCCAGCGGTCCGGCCGCACCGCGCCTCTTGGAGGGTGCCATCCAGGGCCCCTCGCTGGGAGCCCTCGGGGCGATCTTGGAGCACGATCCCATGGCGCCCTGGGGGAAGGTCCCGCGGCGCAACCGAGAGGGGCCGGGAAGCGCACCGGGCGCCGAGAAATGCCGTGGGATGTGGGCGGAGTATCGGCAAAATTCGATACGGTGAGGGCGTTGGGCAAGGAGCGTGTCCAGAAGGTTTCCGACCTTGGAGGATGCCTCCTTATCTGACGAGGGCAACAGTGATGTCCATGGGCAACACACAATGGGAGCTCTACGGGCTTCAGGTCTGGGGTTTCCTGATCCGGTGGTTTCTTGTCCAGAGCCTTCACCGTGTTGAGGATTTCGATTGGAGGGTTTCCAAGGGCCCAAGGACACACCATTCAGTGCCTACGGCATTGTGGCGGATATCACAGGGAGCACTTAGATATACATACATACATATATTTATATACAAATGCATATATTCATATACAAATATATAATGTATGCACGTACATGTACATCACCAGATCTATATATGCACACATGTGTGGTGATTGTGCATGTCGGGGGCGGGGGGCGCTGCGATTGACGAGAGAGAGAGAGAACAACAAAAAAAAACACGAAGAGAGAGAGAGAGAGAGTGACAGACAGAGGGATGACGCTATGAAACATGTGTACGTAGCCTTCCGGATTTTTTTGGGTGAGGCGAGCGTTGACAGTAGCCGGTGCGCACTGGATACGCAAGTCGGTAACCGAATGTGGGCGTTGCGACTTGGCATGAAATACGCAGCCTCCCGTCTGGGTAATCGGGGGCGTTCGGTGCGCGCGCCTGCGATCACCATCTCGCTCACTTCCCTCCCTACAGTTGGGAATGTAATTGGGAAACCTCCTCCCAAAAAGCTGGCCAGCGTTTCTTAACCAACGTGCCGGAAAGCTGGCACAAGTTCTTGAGCACGTTCACCCCTCCATCGTTAACACCAGAAGTTGGCCCAGGCTCGCGTTAAGAAACTTCCCGGGAGTTGGCCCAGCTGTTTCAAGTGGTAAGTAATTGTCTTGATCATCTTTTCGGCTCTAGTTATTCGCCCCCCTCCCCTCTCCACCTCACTCGCTGCCTCCCTGGACTCTTCCTCCCCGCCTTCCCGCACCTCCCCGCCTTTCCTCCCCTCCCCGCCTCCCCGCCCCTCGGCTCCGGCTCCCGGCCCTCCCGGCCCTCCCAGCCCTCAGCTCCTCCCGGTGCGCTCTGCGGACGGCGGCCGAGACTCGCACGTCACCTGCCAGCAGGGATGGCCCGGACGAGCCGGGGGATGTGCGTGCGCACGGTCCCGGATTGCTCATTCTGGTTCCTGTTCCCTGATGGAAAGAGAGTGCTTCGCACGCTGATTGCTCTTACTGTTAAGTCGGGCGTGTCCCTCTACAGGAGGACTATTCAAGAATAGTCTGGGTGCGATGTTTCGATTACTTCTGGACTAGTTTGGAACGTTGTTTTGCTATTTTTCATTTTTCGTCCAAAACTCCGTCTAGGAGGACATGCCCGACCCAATCGTACTGCTCCTCCTCTTCCTCGTCTCCCTCCTCGCCGTCATCCTCACCCCTAGGTATCGTGTTCCTCTGCGCGCCCTCCTGTTATCTCATTCGTCCTCCTCCTCCCCCCGCCACCTCAGGCACCCGCCGGGTTCAAGTTTCTCGCGTCGCCACGATGCACTGTCTACGGCGTTGCTTGAGAGAGTTATGCACTTTCTATTGTTAAATCGAGCGTGCCCCTTCTACAGGAGGAATATTCAAACATAGGTGAGAAACGGTATGGGGACGACTTTTGGAGTATTTCTGTTTTTGTTGGCACATTTGTTTTTCAATTTCCCCACATCCTAAGTGGGGTTCTTGTTTTCTCTGGACACCCTCCGCGCAGGATCTCCTCACCCCCTCTCTCTCTTTCTCTCTCTCTCTCTCTTTCTCTCTCTCTTTCTCTTCCTCTCTCTGGCCGTCATCATCATCACTCATCATCACTCATCATCATCATCATCATCATCATCATCATCATCCTGATCATCACTACCATCATCACCCCCGCACCCCTTCACTCACCATCATCATCATCATCATCACCACCACCCATCGTCACTACTCATCATCCTCCTCGTCATCGTCACCATCATCATAATCATCACACATTCACAGTCACACCAGTATAATCCTCCTCATCACCAACATCACCCTAATTCGATCAATCATCATCATTACCATCCTCATCCTCATCAACACCATCATCATCATTCTGTCACTCATCATCATCATCATCATCATCATCATCACCACTCATCATCATCATCAGCATCATTCTCATCACCACTCACTCACTCATCATTTCGTCATCACTCACTCCCTAGTCTGAATATGGAGGACGCCTAAAGCGGGAGCCTCATCTGTGAATGAATTGTGAGGAAGTCTCAGGCGGGACCCCCTTCCATATGGGTCCCGCACTTCATGTTGGCAATCCGAGCGGGTCATCCTCAAACTTGTAACTGTCGTCACTTTTGGGCTCCTGAGGCCTGAATTTGGAGGAAGTGCCAAGCGGGAGCCTCGTCTGTGGGTGAATTCTGAGGACGTCTCAGGCGGGAGCCCCCTCTCCCTATGGGGGCCGCGCTTCATGTTGGTAATCCGACCGGGTCATCCAAAACGTGTAACTGTCGTCACTTTGGGGCTCCTGAGGCCTGAATATGGAGGAAGTATCAGGCGGAATCAACGTCTGTGAGTGAATTGCGAGGAAGTCTCAGGCGGGAGCCTCTTCCTTGTGGGGCCGGCGCTTCATGTTGGTAATCCGAGCGGGTCATCCTCAAACTTGTAACTGTCGTCACTTCTGGGTTCCTGAAGCTTGAATATGGGGGAAGTATCAGGCGGGAGCCTTGTCCGTGAGTGAATTGCCGGGAAGTCGCAGGCGGGAGCCCCCTCCCTATGGGGCCCGCACTTCATGTTGGTAATCCGAACGGGTCATCCTCAAACTTGTAACTATCATCACTTTCGGGCTCCTGAGGCCAGAATATAAAGGAAGTCTTAGGCGGGAGCCTTGTCTGTGAATGAATTGCGAGGAAATCTCAGGCGGGAGCACCCTCTCTCTATGGGGGCCGCACTTCACGTTCGAATCCGAGGCGGGTCATCGGATTTTTATAACTGTCGTCATTTTTGGGCTCTTCAGGCCTGACTGTGGAGGAAGTATCAAGCAGGAACCTCGTCTGTGAGTGGGTGGCGAGGACGTCTCAGGCGGGAGCCTCTCCCTCTGGGTCCCGCACTTCACGTTGGTAATCCGAGCGGATCATCCGAGCGAGCTTTTTGGGCTCTTCAGCTCCTGCGGCATGAATGCGGGGGAAGTGTCAGGCGGGATTTTTGTCTGTGAGCGAAGTGCGGGTAGCCTCATTTGAGCTGGTCGTCAGCAAATATGCTGTTGTCACGGGCCTGCGTACCCGACAACACCACGACGACGACGACGACGAGGACGACGAGGCAGCGGCCAGGCGCAGGGGTAGCCCCTTGTGTCCGGGCCGGGGGTGGTAACCCATCCTCGGCCGAATCGGGGGCAGGGGTAACCCCTTGTCTCCGGGCCGCCGGTGGTAACCCATCGGCGGCCGAATCGGGCGCATGGGTGATCCCCTTACGTCCGGGCTTGGGGTGGTAACCCATCCTCGGCCGAATCGGGGGCAGGGGTAACCCCTTGTCGCCGGGCGGGCGGTGGTAACCCATCGGCGGCCGAATCGGGCGCATGGAGGAACCCTTGCGTCCGGGCCGCGGGTGGTAACCATCCTCGGCCGAATCGGGGGCAGGGGGAAACCTTTGTCTCCGGGCGGGCAGTGGTAACCCATCGTCAGCCGAATCGGGCGCAGGGGGGGACCCTTGCGTCCGGGCCGGGGGTGGTAACCCATCCTCGGCCGAATCGGGGGCAGGGGTAACCCCTTGTCTCCGGGCAGCCGGTGGTAACCCATCGGCGGCCGAATCGGCGCATGGGTAGCCCCTTGCGTCCGTGCTGGGGGTGGTAACCCATCCGATGATGATGTTGACGATGTTGTTGATGATGATACGGATGGTGATGATGATGATGTTAATGGTGATGGTGGTGCTGCTGATGATGATGATAGTGATGATGATGGTGGCGATGATGATGATGATGATGATGATGATGATGATGATGATGATGATGATGATAATGAAAATGATGATGATCATTCGGGTGTTGCTGCTAATGATGATGACGACGATGCTGATGATGATGATGATGACGATGGGCTCCTGAGGGTCAGGTCTTCGGATTCCCTTTAGGCCCTTCTTGGACACTCTTGAAGTGGAGGAGGAGGAGGAGGTGGAGGAGGAGGCGGAGGACAAGGCGGGGGGAGGAGGGGGGAGGAGGAGGAGGAGGAGGAGGAGGAGGAGGAGGAGGAGGAGGAGGAGGAGGAGGAGGAAGAGGAAGAGGAGGGAGGAACACTTCCTCTTCGGAGATCTGGGAGCCTGCGTAGAGGCTTCACTGCGGCGGCGCTCGGCTCAAGCGAGGCTGCGCCGCGCGTTTTCGGACTTGCGTTTCCTGGGTCGTTGGACCCTTGCTTTTTCTACTCCCTCGGCGGCCATGTCGATGCCGCCGCAGCAGGCCAACACCCTCAACAAGAGGGAGCGGAAGCGGCAGCGGCGGGCGGCTAGCCCCCGCGTGGCCCGGCTCGGCGCTGACTTCGAGGCGCGGGCGGCGCAGGAAGCACAAGGCGCCAACGGCGAGGGCGGCAAGGGCGGTTGGGGCGCTGCCCCCGCCAGGAACGCAGGCGCCAAGGGCGAGGGCGGCAAGGGCTGCTGGGGCGCTGCCCCCGCCGGGAGCAAAGGCGCCCAGAGCGAGGGCGGCGAGGGCGGCTGGGGCGCCGCCCTCGCCAGGAGCAAAGGCGCCAAGGGCGAGGGCGGCAAGGGCGGCTGGGGCGCCGCCCCCGCCGGGAGCGAAGGCGCCAAGGGCGAGGGCGGCAAGAGCGGCTGGGGCGCAGGACGCGCAGGGGCCCACCTACAAGCGGCCGCGCCACCACTTCGGGCGCGCCCCCGTCGCGCTGCACCTCGGCGATTTCCTGCAGCTGAAGCCCGCTGGCAGCGTCGGGTTCCAGACGGACGTGAACGAGCGCTTGGACGACGGAAAAGGGTCGTACAAGTACGCGGAGCCGCCGACGGTGGAGATTCAACGCGCCATCGAGGTCTTCTCTGAGATCCCCTGCGTCTTCGAGCTGACGGGCTCGAAGCGCTTCGAGCCTGGGGGGCCCTCTGATCACGCTCCTGGGCTGCATGCGCGAGGGCAGGCCCTTCCCACCAGAGGTCTGGTCTGCCTGGGAGGAGACGTTGGCCTTGGACAACCAGGGCGTCCTGGGCCCTCGGCACCAGCGCGAGAACTTTCTGCTCGGCTACGGCATGGGCATCTACTGGGAGACGCTGGCGAGGTGGATCAACACGCGGGCTCGTCGCGACGCTCGGCGCCCGGGCGCGCCCTTCGTTTTCTCGCGGGCCGTGGGCGAGCGCGGCGCGATTCAGGGCGATCCCGACGCGGGTCGGCACCTCCTGAACGCCCCGAACACGCGCAATGCGGGGGACGTCCACGGCGTCTTGCCGGCCCACGTCGGCCTGGAGGTGCGATTCGCGGCCGCGGTGGGGGAGCTGAAGAAGAAGTTGGGGCTCGTGCAAGAGCAACGGGCCACCATCGTTTCCTTCGAGTTTCAGTTGGACGACGAGCGAGAGTGCGAGGAGCGCGCGCCGGGCCAGCTTTTTCGCCCCCGCTACCTACCACAGGGAATCCGGCTGCGGGTGCGCGGCTTCCAGGAGTTCCCGAACTACTAGGAGGTCGCCGAGGTCTTAGTGGGCCCTGGGAACGACAGGGCCGTTTTTTTCACCGGTTCCGTTTTGCCGTTTTTTTGCCGGTTCCGACGCCGTTTGTTTCACCGTCTCCGTCGTTGTTTTTTGACCGGTTCTGGCTCCAGCTCCGATCCTGGGGCCGTTTTTTTACCGTTTCCGGTCGCCGTTTTTTTTCCCGTTTCCATTTTCAATAGAATGCGCCCGGGAAGCGGCGAAAAAATCGGCCCTGCCGTTTCCGGGGCCCGCGACTGCAGAACGCCGAGGGCGCTGGCGACGACGGCGAGGCCAAGGCGCGGGCGAGGAGCTTGCTCATGTCAGGCCGAGCCAGCAGCAGTGCGCGCGGCAGAGCTCGGGGACGCACGCTGCGCGCCGCTCGGGTTTC